CTGCAATGCCGGCCAATAGGTGCCATTGAGAATGGATGGCAGTGCAATGCACTAGCACACTCGAGTGTGCTAAACGCACAGATCCCATGTGTTTAGCACAATGCTGTGGTGCTAATGGGCTGGTTAAGGAACCAGCAATTAATCCCAAGATTGTGTGCTCTGAATCAGACCCTACATTCTTCACTAAGCCTAACATGCAAGACCTCTATTCATAATTCAAATGACAACATAGCAGAAGTATATAAATAGCCGTTCCCTTACAATAGGCAGTTGTTATATTACATTTCTGAAGCATCAGAAAATGTTATGAACCTTTACAATATGGAAAAAAGGATAACTTTAGCAATTAGAATGGCAGTGTTACAGGGCTAGACTCAGACAAAAATCTTCCATAATGCTCTGCATGTCCTGCAAACAAGGCTTGAGCCAAAAAGGAAGCCAATTACATGTGTACCATCTCCACTTATTTGTCAAAGCAAAGTTTCTTTCTACACTATGTACCTGTCACAGCCTGAGCTCTGTACCTGTCAAAAGCCCGAGGAGTTCAAGTGTCTTAAGGTGCCAACGACACCAAGATGTCCAAATATTCCAACCTTGTTCAATCGATCGCACCTTAAATGTCAAGAATAACTGCAGGAAAAAAATTGATTTTTAAAAAAAAACTGCAAACATGTTCACCCCTATTAAAAATACAGCAACAATTATGTGTGCAAGAACAGTTGAAGGCCCCCACTGTCTAACACAGGAAACATTGGGGCAAACAAAGGTGAGAAAAGAATTAGATTGGAAGTGAATGGGAGACAGCAGTGAAGAATCTACCATGGCAGAGAATTGTGTTAGAGATTAACCTGTCAGTGTCATATTTTATCACGCTGCAGCAACACTTGGCTTTAACACCGGCTCCCGTCAGTTGCTAGCTAAGAATGGAGTGTGCCACCATCTTCCAGCACAACTCTCTCAACCAAGCAGAAACAAACAAGATAGGAAGAACGCTTCATAACGAAGGCCCGAAGGCTCCAAACTGGCAGTGCATTTATGAAAAATGATCTTTACAACAGGCAAAATGTGCTAAAAAGTTAAAAAGCAGCAGAGACTTAACCCTATGCAGCATGAGCTAATGGATGAGGAAGCACATGATTTGTGGATCCTTACCAAGACCCAAAGAGACAAAACGGAGTATATGCCTGAGTTATTTTAACTTAACATGGTGCACAAAAGCTTGGAATTGGTTCACAGATTTCAAAAACAATATCACTATTTTGGCTCTACATACTGTGAGATATACATATACATAACAAAATGACCCTTGAATGTGTAGGGTGGACAGAGCAGGATATCAGATATAGAGGCAGTGGAAGATTCCAATTTAGGTTTTTAGGGCCCATGAAGGTTTGGGCGCAAAATAACTAGTGGTTCTAAATAGTTTAGTACAGGGTACTCTGCATCTCAATTCTCCTTAAAAAGCACTGTGTGATGAAGGGTTTTCATCATGAGCTGATGGATGAAGCCCACATTTTGTTTTTGCATTGTGGCTCCGAATTACCCCTATCAATGATGTGTTCTATGTGATCGTACCTAGAAGAAAGCACTGTGTCTCACTGTAACACAGCTTTCCCAAAACGGCTTTAGGAGCCTCTGTGGAAGAGTAGCGGATAACCTGTTGCTGGGAAATGCTCACTTTTTTTATAAGCTGATCCCCAACAACTGATGGCAATTGTTTCTTGTTCTAGGGTGCTAAAAAAAAATTGACAATCTTGAGAACCCAAATTCAGAATATAGGACCTAAACCCCAGGCCTAGATTTCAGGGTGGAACCTAGCTCTCCTCTTGAGCTGAAAAAAAAACAAGACAAAGAGAACATCCAACTCATCCTGCGTGGTATAAAACCATCACAATGGACAACATCCAGTTATAAGGAAACATTTTTTAAAGGTTAGTTACTTGTTGGCCTTTGACACAGAATTTAGCATCTTGTTTCATTTCCTGTGCATCTTAAAGTTTTTTATGCTGCTTGTAATCCTAATCAAGGCAATAAAACTATCCCCAACTCTGTTTCCCCCCATACAGTACGGTGTCTTCTTTTTGTTTATGAACACATACTGTAGCTTACCTCTCTATGGTGAGCTCTGACTACACTAAACACAAACAGGTATTTACTACTTTGAATCTGTATTCGTCAGAATGCAGTCCATAATGTCTCTAGGCCTTGTTACTAGTAAAGTTATATGTTATTATGAACATTACTACAGCCTACAAAAATGGCTGCCTGTCTGTGGATAAAAGGTACTCTTGAACATTAAGTAGCAAAGTATTGTGCAAATGGGAGACTACAGTATTTATCTCTCTATGCAACAGATGCTAGATGGACAGTCCATAGTTGTTAAACTTTTCAGTGAGATCTGTATATTATTTTTAAATTTGCCATAGAACACAATAGACCTCATCTATAAAAAGAGTCTGAAATGAACCATTCACATTCCAGCTTTGACTTCTCCAGTGATGGTTAGAAAACTAAAAGGAAGAGTCAGATGCAGCTATAAGAGACACAAGTAACCTTCTTTAAGATACTTGCAAGGCTTGAGGCCAACCATGGCATATTTTGAAGGGTGTTTAAAGGAGAACTATGGGGTAAGTGTTTTTCCCCATAGTTCTCCTAAGGGTCATAGAAGGACAAACTAGCGTCCTCCCATGACCCGAAGCTCAGTATACCGCGAGCCACAGCTCGCGGTATACTGAGACCGCCGCAGCCAGGACGCATCCCGACATTACTGTCGAGATCCACCCAGCTGCGTGACAGCTGGCTCTGCCTATCTAGAGGCAGAGCCAGCTGTACCCGCCCTCTCCTGTTCTCCAGTCAGTGCTTGAAGATTTGTACAAGGTAGGGGGGAATCCCTGCAGGGAGCCGTGAGTGGCAGTCACGGCTCTCTGCAGGGACATGATCGAGAAGTGAGTGAGCGACGGTATGCGTTCGCTCACTTCCCTATCTATTGAGCCGACGTGTGACAGTTTCATTGTCACACGTTGGCTCGAACTATGAGGTTGACTGAAAATCACCCACCTCATAGTTCTCCTTTAAAGACAGCAAAACACTCAGCAACTTTTAGCAACCCACCAAATGCATGTTTTAACATCAGAAAAAAAAATGAATCCTGGAAAATGCTTAATGCTGACATTTACATTATTGTACTATAGGAGCTTAATAAAGGCAGAGTCATAAAGTGCAGTAACTATCGGGAGAACTACACCAATCAACCTCCAAGCCACATTTCATTGTTCTTACTACTTTAACTGAAAGATGCAATTTGGCTGGTTAATGTTGGTTACTGTACACCACGTCCTTAGTAAATAAGCCCATATGTCAGTAAATAACCGTGTAAAAATCTGTACAGTTCTAGTGCAAAACTATTAAAGATGTGTACATGTCTAAAACATCAAAAACAAACCAATAAACGTGAATGAAAAAATAGAGTGTCAATAACCAATGGCACGCCATCATTAATGAGGCTTATCTTGCTTATACGAAATGGCTCAAATGAGTACAATATTATAATTCAACAAGATATAGGCTTCTATCGTGTGTATATAACAATTCTATGGTTTTAATGGCCGAGTATAACATGAACACAGAGCCTGCACGCAATGTAAACTGACCAGTGTAAAACAATGCCTCGTGGGTACAAATGAAGTACAGGTCCTTTAAAATGTCAGTAGTCTCAAATGCAAAACATTTTTATTACTTTTTCCACATGCACACAATGTTATAAAATGGTACAAAAATGAATTCCGAACATCACCCCCTCCAAAAAAAAAAATATAAGTCATTGGCAACTGGCATATGAATATCGACAGCCAGTTTCGATTCGTAGGTTAAAACCCTTGACATTTTATCTAGATTTGACTTGAGTGAAGTTTGCTCTTTTTTTAATCCTCCAGCAAAAGTGCTAAATATATTTTTTTAGCTAAAAACCGTATGAAACAACCTTGTTAAATCAGTTTCAGTGAAGACTGTGGTGCAATTCACAGGTGAAGAGTCACATTAAAAAATAGCAACTTTCACTTAGCAAATCTAGGCCAATTATGTGCAAATTAGTATGTATCATCATTTGACAGGAATTCACATAGGGGAACTTAACCTTTCTGCTCCAGAGACGAGCTTTCCTATCTCCTGTAGTTGAGCACAGGAAGTAATGCCACCAACATAAAAGAAAAGAAAGAACCTACAAGCTCTCGTTGCCAAAGTGCCAAATCTTCTTTCGACCACTTTGGAGAGTGCAGAACAAAATAAATAATAATAAAGGGTATTTGCAACATTAAAAGCTGAAATCAGGCAGACTTAATCATCATTCAAAAGGGATTGTATTTACAGAAGTCTACATGAAAAGGTCAGTCGCAGCTTACCCTGTATTGATAAGTTGGATATGCAGATAGAATACAGTTTGGTCCCCTTCAGGCTTCCATTGCAAACATCCATACTCATTCAGTTGGCACCTTTGGCATATGTTATCCCCCCTCCTCCTATTGGTTGACGGCCCCTTTTTAAGATTCACAGAACTACTTTGACCAAGCCATCTTGTATCACACACCTGAGGGAGCATCCTCTGGCACTTGGCTATCCTCAACCAAAATTAGGCTCACATGTGAGCAGTCCTTACTTAAAAATTAGCATGCAATAAACCAAATGGAAAAAAAAATGTGCATAAAATTATTGTGAATTTTAAATAACGGCATATAATTTATTTGTTTGCTTAAAAAATAGACACGTGGACACCATTTAACGAACACCAGATGCATGTACCTTCTTTTTCTAAACAAGCACTGTTGATAGTATTTGGACCCTAACACAGCAGTCACCACCTATATACCAGGAAACTGCTTGGTTATCAAGAAAAATAAAAATTTCAACTTTGAAATCTGCATGCCGTTTTTAAGAAGTTTATTTTAGACCAAAAAAAACAAAAACTTTAAGCTTTAGATTAAATATCAAAAATATTTCTGGTAAAAGGTATCCCAAATGTAAAATGAAAAACGACTTGGTACCGGATAATTAAAAGGAATTTGGAGTCCAGAGGCGTGCGCACTAGAATGGAATCTTCAAGAAAGCTTGGAATATAGATAATTGTATGACCTTGTGTTTTTCTTTTCGTTACAAAGCCTAGCGCCAGATGTAAAAATTTCCTATACCCACAAACGCGTAGAAAAAACGGCAAGGACTCTAGGTTTAAATAGCACAGCGGAAAATCAGAAGCCTACACCCACTTCAGTTATCACAAAGAAGCGGCTTTTTCTTAATAATGAGGACATTCAAACCTACGTACCAGAAGAGCACCAAGAACTTTTTCAGACTTTTCCAAACTGAAACCAGAACCGGAATGGCTTATAAAGTCCTCCTTTGCTTTGAGGTTTCCCTCTTTGAGCACGAGAAACCAAAATGCAAGCTCCCTTTTTACATATATAAAAACTATACCTTAAAAAAACTCCCCCCACCCCTCTCCAAATCCAGTTCTGACCTTTATAACAATGAATTGTCTATGTAGAGGGTGGTTTGAAACTTTACATCAGTATAATAAAATAAACCTGGAAAGAAAAACAAAAATAAAACACTAGAAATTAATGTAGGCGCAAGCCTAGAAGCAGTTGCATGGACCATAAAGCACTGTGTTGTCCTTTGTCCACCTCTAATTTTTTTCTCCTTCATTTAAAAGTTAGCTTGGTTTAGGTCTTTATCTCCCAAATTCTTCTCTTGGTCCTTTTGACTTCAATCCATGCGGGGGAAAAAAAAAAAATGGGTCAAGTGAATCTCACAGATATATCTCCCGCTTGGCAGATTGGGATGAAGGAGTGGTGGCGTGCTGGAAATCAGCCGTTTGGGTTAGTGGGATTTCCTCCAAAGGGGAGTCCGAACATGACTCATGGCTGTTACTGGTAAAGGCACTATAAGTCGGTAACAGCTGAATGTTAGCCATTTTGGTGGTGCTGTTATTGTTGCCTCCGATGCGGTCCTCTGGAATTCTAGGGTTGCCATTGCCAATTTGCTCTTGACTCCCCTTGTCTTGGTAAGGCACAAAAGTGGAGAGCTTGAGGGCATTCTTGGGCCTGCGAGTGGGTGATGGCTGGCCAGGCATCCAGCAAGTGTCAGAGTGTCCATATTCTGTACATTCCCGTGTGCAGTTTCCCGTCATGGCTACATCAGGCAGTGGTCTGAGATCTAGAATTAAAGAAAGAAAAGAAAAAAAAAAACCATAGGTCACTACATCAATCATCTAGCAGGAACCTTATGCCCTATGCATCTATGCAGTCCCACCCACACATCTTTAATACGATAAGTATTTTTCATCTGAGTCATGTTCTAGAGGAATAAAAATGTGAGTCATATCTCATAGGGAGGAGTGAAACTAGTTTAAATGTCAGAAAGTAAATCAAATACCTTTCTACAACACTACTACACTGAACATAATTTATGGAAGCACCTTAAACAGACCTTTTGGAAATAGACATTTTACTGTCTGTTTTTCTGTATATGTGTAAAAGCATAAGATATGTCATGTAGTGATATAAGGAGTCTGGCCCCACTCACTGCATGCTTCTGACTGCACCCTTGCAAGGCTATATGCCAATTAGAAAAACAGCCAACGGCCGCTAGTCAGCTGGCCATATGTCATCTCTAACACCAACAACACGAGACCAAAAAGGTGGCAGGAGCAAACACAGCATGTAATGACATACTGAAATGGAAAATGTTATATATCTAGGTTTAATTAAAATGGTAGATTAAAGTATTGTGCCAAATGCAAAGCCTGGTGTAATCTGATTTCATTCTGAGTGGTTGCTGAATGCCTACACTTTGCGCCTAAGCAAAAGTGAATAAAAGGTTTTTATTTTCAAGATTACTTTTAAAGGGAACATATATAATGTACTGACAGTAGGTAAATATTTGAAATATAATTGAAGTGTTTAAATTATTCATGTGACTTCCACAAACTTTCTTTGTTATCATACTAAACAGAGATTTGTAGGTCAGCCACGAGAGGCAACATATGAGCTGATACAATTATTCTGCTTAACTGCACATACAAGATATTAACCACATGGGGAGTGAATTGTTTTCAATGAGTCATACACACACAACCTGAAAATGGTACTATGGGGCAAAATGCCATTAGTAATAAAACGGCTGAACATGCATTCCTAGCTTCTCTTCTTCCCGCTGGGTGGCAGTCTGTGTCCCCTCCAATACCCACTGCTCTCACCGGCCTGTATCAGCAGAGGCAGCAGGGTTTGGAGGGGGGGGGGGCAAACCGGCGCCCAGCAGGGAGGAGAGAGCATGTCAGGATGCAGAGGGAGGAGACCGCTATCAGCTGTCATTGGAGGCCAAGCTCTCCTCCCGAACTGCCCCGCTTGTGTCAGGCAGAGTAGTCAGGATGGAGAGCGGAGTACATCCAAGCGGATTGCTGAGTGTTTGCAAGTAACTGAGGACATAGTACGCTTACTGTGTCCCCAGTTACGAATGAACAGGATGTGCTATACATCACTTCCAGTTCATTCATGATTGTGGACATAGTAACTGATACTATCTTCTCAGTTTATGAATGGATTGAAGCACTCAGTATACAGGCTTCCCGTTCATTCATAACAGAGGCTGCAGAAAAAAAAAGAGATTTGGGACTCTGTGTCCTCAATCGCTTTTTAAAAGGGAAATATCAGGGGTCTGTTTAGACCCCTGATATTTCCCTTACGCCGCTAACAGTAAACAAAAAAAACCATTAAATAGCATAATTAAAAATATTTTTAAAAAGTTTGGGGAAAAAGCGTCGGCCACGATTTCCAAGGCAAGATGTAAAATTCAGATAGACTCCTACCTAAAAAGACTGAATGCTGTCATAGAATCCAAAGTGCTTCAACAAAGTATTGTATTAGTTTAAAGGTGTGCATATTCATGTAACCACATTGTTGTAAGTGTTTTATATTTATTTGTCCCCACTTTAAAAAAGATTCCAGTTTGTTTTTCATTGAATTGCACAGACAATAGGTCAAACGGTGGAAACACACACAATTAAAAAGCCAATGTATTCCCTCTGTTCTTCTCTGAGTATTAAGCATGCACAGAACTTCCATCTTCTAACAAAAATAATATAAAACATTACCATTACAAGTCAAATACTTCATGCAAGTGTTAATTATTGCTCATTACAATTCTAAATTGGTGCTACTGTGAAACAAAGAATACTATACAATTTATAGTTTTATTTAAACTTGGTTGTGTCCAGCAGTGATGTGGAGATCTACAGTTGGGATCACAGGGTTCAGCAGAAGAACCAGGAATATATTTTATTTATATATTCCCCAAAAATAAGACCTACCCCAAAATTAAAACCTAGTACCATTTTTGGGAATTGCTAAAAGATAAGACCTACCCCGAAAATAAGACCTAGTTGTGACCATTCCCAAGGCCGGTGGTGGCATAAGGGGGAACTTGAAGGGCTGCAGGGGAGAATCAGCAGTGCCAGTGAAGCCAGCGCTAGAGGAAGCGAGGTGGCAGCGCAAGGAGCAGAGCCGCATAAGCCGATGTTTCCTCTATAGCGCCGGCTCCTGTCACAGGATATAAAACCTCAAAGAGGTTTGCTATTTTGCCTGCAGATTTATTCCCCCTCCCTTCCTAAACCATTTCACAGATAAAGATGCCAAATGCAGCAGGATTTGTGTTTTCCTGTCAGAATGTGATCACATAGCTGGAGGATATACACTGAGCCAAGCATATCATGGAGCATCAAGTTAAGAGACCTGTGCCTCCATAGCTCCTAAACCCAATTCCAAAGATTTTGACAGTTCCACAACAGTAACCAATCAAATGGGATAAAAATGACCACAGCCCAGAATGTGGCTAACGTATTTGCCTTTGTTTTTATAGCTTTAAAATCTTGCATCTTTACAGGGTCATGTTTGGCATGACCAATGTTTACCAATGAAATGTTTATTATCACTCATATCTTCACACAGTCAGAGCCCAACTGCAGGCAAAACATTTTGTTTTACTTCGGCTAGAGCAGGGTTGGGTTAAAACCTGTGTCAGGTTTTTATTGCCACAGTTTCTTTAATAGCAAGGACAGGCTATCGGAATTTGACTTTCCAATGTGGGCGCAGACCACATCAAAAGCACAATTTTAGCAGGGGAGGATGGGTTAGAATATCTCACAATCAAGTTATTTTTATCCATGCCTTTCAGTTCCAATGACGCTCGCACCTCCATATTTTATGTCTGGGTAACGCAGACAGGAAGTGATGACAAATCTCCCAAAGGTGGTCACAGACCGACATAAAAACCAGAAACAAAAACAGAAAATTCAACTCCTCCACACGGTATCCAAAACAGAAAAAATATTGGCTGGAGTTAGGCATCAACAGCATATACTGTATATTACAATATTGGAGTTATAACACTTTTGGGTTGTTCAAAAAAACATGATATGGATGTGAACTCCCCTTTAACTTTTCACTAGGAATTAGTGTCCTCACTAAGCTTTTTCCTTGTTTAAGTGAGGGGGCAATCACCTCAAAGAGCCATACACAGCAATAGAAACACAAGGTTCCAACCCATCGCAATGGTATTCAAATTGAAAAATGCCTGTTTTCTGGATTTTTCATTCTACTGACCAAAAAGGAGCAAAAACGTCAGGAGATGAAGCAGAGGCAGATTCTGGACCCGTCATCATCAGAGAACAGCACAGCAGTAAGTACATATGACATAACGTGCAAGTATGCGGTGCACATTATGTCAAGAGCTCACCCCCACTAAGATAAGTTGTTAGCTGTTTTAAACAGGGTACAGGCTGCCATTAATAAAAATGAAAGAAGTGTTCGTTTAGATGGCAATCCAGCCTTCCAGTAATTAAATTGCTTACCAGCTCAGGCTGCTTGCCTCACTGCTATGCTAACTCTATGGCTTCAACATTTTCTGATTCACTCACCTGGTCAGTCAAGAGGCTTTAACTGCATGTTTCGTCTGAGCTGGGGAGTAAATTCTGAAGACTAGCCATGTAACTAGGCATTTCCAGGACATAGTCAGCAAAGCCAGTCTTCATATTTCTCTTTGCAAATGGTTTCTTAAAGGAGAACTATGAGGTGAGTGAAAATCACTCAGCCTCATTGTTCGAGCCGACGTGTGACAATGAAACTGTCACACGTCGGCTCAATAGATCGGGAAGTAAGCGAACACACACCGTCGCTCGCTCACTTCACGATCATCTCCCTGGTGAGAGCCGTGGCTGTCACTCACGGCTCCCTGCAGGGATTCCCCCCTCCCCTGTCCGATCCTCCAGCAAGTTTCCTCTAAATAAGACAGCAATATACTGCAGCCCATAGCGCCAATCGTCTTTCGTTGCGCTGTCTGCTGTAAAACAGTGAAAGCTGAACTGATTGATAGCCATGGCTTACTGTACAATATTGCTCTTTGCATCTTATTAAATAAGCATCAGAGTATCTGCCTTTCATTACCTCCCCTGTGTTTGGTATTTAATTTACTGCGATTCCTGCTCAACCACTGAAGAAAAGTCTGGTCTGAAAATAAAGCTGGATCCTCAGCTCATGAGAACGAAGCTTGCATAACGTATGGATGGGGGGAAAAAAAAAAAATCCCTGGCGGTATGAAATGCACAAGTCAATTTCAGCTATGAAAATGAATGTAAAAATATGCAGTGATTGATAGTGTTGTTTTAAGAGCCAGCGGGAAGCACCTGGCACTGATCATGGATATTATCCGCTTACATTTTACTGATCTTGTATTTTCTTTTTTCTTTAATAAAGATTACTTATTGATAAAGCCTACGCAGGCATTTTAGAGGGTGCTGGTCAGAAGACGGCCTGCTTTGATGCAACAGAGTTTAAATATACAGGAAAATGTATGTAACTATGTACAATGAGCTTGCAAGCCACAGACAAAAGACCCTGGTGCCCCATTAAAGTATCAAAACAAAACATTTAATTACTAGTCATGCCAAACAATAAACCTGCTGATTTGGGTACCCAAAAGGTTCACCGTGTATTTGCCTCTATCTGTCTGACAGCTGCTGCATAGCTTCCCTTGAGTTATTAAGAGTCCCATCTCTCTAGCTTCTACCCCTCCTCTTTCCATCTCTTCAACCTGATCCCCAGACTCCTCTCCTGATAGTTTAGAAATGACACAGGATCTGGAGATTGTTACATACAAACAAG